CCTCTATCGAGACCCAAACCCAGAGCCGAGGCTAGAGTGAGAGTCCAGTGGGAAGGGCATGTGCCTTAAATGCAGTCACCCTGGGTTCAAAGCCCTGGGCACCCCACAGGGTCCTCTGAGCCCCACCGGGAGTGAGCCTTGAGCATGGACGGGTGTGACACCCCCCCCCCCCCCAAGCCAAACCAAACAGGAACGCCTATCTCACCAGGCCAGCCGGGTGAAGGCAGCTCAGCCCTCCCCTCCAGGCTGCCCACTAGACCATCAAAGAGCATCAGCACGGCTGGCAGTGACCTAGGGCAGTGCTTCTCAGCCTGTTTCCCCCTTTGGCCCCCTCTGACCTCTCTCTCTCTCTCTCTCTCTCTCTCTCTCTCTCTCTCTCTCTCTCACACACACACACACACACACACACACACACACACACCCACACACACAGTCTCCCATCCTTGCTGGTCAGCCTCGTAGTCTCATGCCATATGCCCCCCCCCCCCCGTCCCCCTCTCCACCTTTACACAATTTTCCTCTGTGGCCCCTTAGAATATCCTGGGCATTACTGGTCAGGGGTGAGTCTGGGATATGGCACAGACTGAGACTGGTTGACCTAGAATATTCTCAGGGTGGAGGCCCAGAGAGGTGTGCTGAGTTGCCCAAAGTCACACAGCAGCCTGGGAAGCCTCTGTGCGTTCTCTCTGGCTCTGGAGCCGAGGAGAAGGGCACCACTTGGAAAGGCGGGGACGATCATAAGGACAAGGGACAATAACCGCTCGAGAGGGTCCTGGGGCCTGGCATTGTGCTGAGCTCTTCACAGGCATTAACTCACTCAGCGCTATTGTGAGCGCCCTCCCACAGCTGGGGCACCAGAAAGGTTAGGTCACTGGCCCACGTCACATAGCTGGGACGGGGGTGGCGCATCCCAGGAGGAGCCAGGAAGGACGGGGCAGGGGTGGAGAGGGCTGGGGGAGGCCAGGACAATGGGCATCACGGAGGGCTCTATTCAGACACAAGCCCCAAAGGGTCCCGTCTTCCTGCACAGCCCAGCCGAGGTCACAAAGCCAATTACAACCGACCCCATGGAACAGGATCAGGAAAACTCGAGGGAGGGGGGCTCGCCCCCCTCCCACCCCTACTTCAATCCATGCCAAAAAGCCTCAGCTGCGGGGCACAGGTCTGGCCTCACAGTTCTGGTCCTGAAGGCACTTCTGCACGGCTCCTTGGCGGGTGGGCGGTCTTTGTCTGAGCTGACCCTCAAAGGAAGCAGGAGCCCAACCCGCCCCCAGTGGCAGGGGTAAGGTGCTGCCGTTCTGCAGAACGCCACCAGAGGGCACCCCGGGAGGACAGCCGAGTTGGGGTGAGGAGTGACAGAGTTCCCATGATGCCTCCAAAATTTTCTCACCAGAACTTGAGGTAGGGGGGCTGGAGCAATAGGACAGCCGTCAGGGCATTTGCCTGGCAAGCGGCCAACTCGAGTTTGATCCCCAGCATCCCATGTGGTCCCCCCTGAGCCCAGCAGGAGTGATCCCTGAACACAGAGCCAGGAGTTACCCCTGAGCATTGCCGGATGTGACCAAAAAAGCAAAACAACCAAAAGAATAGATAGAAATTAGATATTCGGAGTGAGGAGACACTCAGAGGAGAGTAGGAAGATATTTGGGGAGTGGGGGAAATGCCAAAAACCTTTAGCAAAGAACCAATATGTACTGTGGTTTTACCATGCCCAAGCCTAGGCTGTAGTCTTGGCTCTAATTTACAAGCTGTTGCAACCCCGGGCATACAGCATAAATACCCCCCATGTGAACAATGACACCAATCTGAAATGAGAAGGCATTTGTGATTCTAGAGTCTTAAGAACACATACTGGTGCTCTGGAAGGACTGACAATTGTTCACGATTCTGTTTACCTACTCAGGGTCTCCTTCAATTCTGAGTGAGTGGCTTCTCTTACCCTTCACTTTACAACTGGGAAAAACAGAGGCACAGAGAGATTAAGTAGATTGTTCAAGATCACACAGCTGAGGCAGGAAAAGCGGAAACTCGGTGCAGGTAGCCTGGCCCCAAAGCCAGTCTCTTAGCCAGCAGGCCAACTGTCCTTAATAACTCCTCAGGCAAGGCCATCCTGTCCCTATAGCCTAAGAAAGGACCAGAAATTCTTGCTAACAGCCACCCCATTAGAATCTGTGTCTGGGGAGCAAGTGGTCTCAGGATGAAACAGAATACAGAGTAGGGGGAAGGGCAGGGAGCTGGCCAGTCCTGATCACACGCATTTTACAAATATTTATCAAGTGGTCACTAGCTGTGGCACTAGGATTTGAGGGTGGACAACCCCCCTCCCAACAAGGAATGCCCAATATATGGGAAAAAGGGGTGCTGTGTGCTGGTTCCAGTCCTTGCTCTACCTCTTGACTGTTTCTCGTTATCTGGGTGATTACAAGGGGAAGAAGTACAGGGTGAGGAATTGCCCAGAATTACACTTAGCTCAGTCTTTTTGGGTTTTTTTTTTTTTGGGTCACACCCAGCGACACACAGGGGTTACTCCTCCTGGCTTTGCACTCAGAAATTACTCCCGGTGGTGCTCAGGGGACCATATGGGATGCTGGGAATCGAACCCGGGTCGGTCGTGTGCAAGGCAAACGCCCTACCTGCTGTGCTATTGCTCCAGCCCCAGCTCAGTCTTTTTTTTTTTCTTTTTGGGTCATACCTGGCGATGCACAGGGGTTACTCCTGGTTTTGCACTCAGGAATTACTCCTGACAGTGCTCAGGGGACCATATGAGCTTCTGGGAATCGAACTTGGGTCAGCCGCGTGCAAGGCAAACGCCCTACCCGCTCTGCTATAGTTCCAGCCCCTATTAGCTCAGTCTTAAACCATACTCCCTGTTGACTGGGCTCTTGGGCACTTCCAAAGACAAAAAGGAAGGGAGTAGAAGAGAAAGACCGGGAAAGCCCCCTCTTCTGAACTGGCCCCCTACACTGCTCTCCCTGAATCAGAGTGTAGACTCTTCCCTTCCAAGTCTCCACCTCACAGTCCCCAGTGAGTTCTGTGCACAGGGCCCGCGTGCAGCTGGAGAGACAGGAAAAACATGGGATCCCACCTCCTCAAAGCTGGGAGCATGGGACCAGAGTGATAGCACAGCACGTAGGGCATTTGCCTTGCACACGGCCGACCCGGGTTCGATGCCTGGCGTCCCCTGTGGTCCCTGAGCACTGTCAGGAGTCATTTCTGAGTGCAGAGCCAGGAGTAACCCCTGAGCATCGCTGGGTGTGACTCTTTTGAGCCCTTTTTAGCCCTGACCCCCATCCCCCCCAAAAAAAGCGGGGAGCATGTGGGCACAGACCTTGGCCCATGGCCACCCTACCTGTAGGGCAAGGCAAGAGGCTGAGTCAGCAGGAATCCTCACCAGAGAGAGGGCAGGGGTGGGGGGATACTGGTCGGGCTCCCCCTTGCTGGAGTAGGGGAGCTCTTAGGGTGATGAGAGGTGTAACTCTCAGGCTTTGCTGCTCCCCAGCCGGGCAACCTCAGAGAGAGTCTCTGACTCCAAGGCCATGGGAGAGCATGGTCATTTTACCGCGGGCCGACACCTTTGTGTATGTCCATGGGAATTCCTGAGCACTGGGGTCCTCAGGGCACCTGCGAGGACGATGCTGACCTGGACGACAGACAAATGTGGATGTGGAACACCCCCCACCCCTTGGGAGACCCTTATGGGATCCCCTGGGAAAGTCTCAGCTAGCCCATGCTCCCATCAATCACCGTGGCCCAGGTGGACAGGATTTGCGGGGGCACTCCGAGGTGGGGAGGGGAGTATTCTCACAGGGGCCAGAGCGGTCTGTGGGGGAGGAAGCAAAGCAGGCTGGGAGCAAGCGCTAGAACTTTCCATGGCCGCACCCCGGGGGAGCTCTGAAAAACCCTCCCGCAGCCCTGGGCTCAGAAGGAGTGTGATTGGATTTCTGCAGTGTCTCCTTGCCACACACCTCCGCCGAGGGGCTGAGGGGCCGTGCTGGGCACACGGGGGTTATCCAGCCCCGGGAAAGGCAGAGGCTGGTGGGGGAGGCAGACAATTAAATAATCTTTAGAGAAGTCACTTTCTCCAGCAAGTAAAAAGCATAATTATAACAGCTAACATTTATATAGCAATTACCGTGTGTTCCCTCTCAATTTCCTTACGCTGAAAATGGGGGTTATAATAGTCCCTACTTCGCGGGGTCTGTGACAATTAGCTAAATGACTTTCACGCGGAAAGCGCAGAGGCCGAGCCAGAGCACGGTCAAGGTTTACGGGCGGCATCGCGCCACCTCTGTGCTGTCCACTCAGTGGAGAGAGGCCAGCTGCAAAGTTCCCTTCAGTGAAAGCAGCCGCTGAAATTCACACTCACTGTAACCACCCCCCCGCGGTCTGCGTATTGTTAGAACCAAAAAAAGTCGGGGCTTGAGCACCTGGCTACCAAGGCTTGAATCCAGTCTCCGTCACTTTGCAGCCGCGAACTTAGTGGTTCAGCGCTACAAGCCTCAGTCTCTCCCTCAGCAGAGTGGGTCTAACAACCCAAAAGCTTGCACTGTACGAGTGAGTCTGCTAAGACACAGAACCAGGAGCACCCTGGGGTGGGTGGGGGTTACTGCAGCCTCTGGAGGAAGGGCCGCGGCTCGGCACCTTTCAAACGCAGGGGTGCCTGCTAGGGACCCCTGACCCACGTGCGGGGGCCGTCCTTTCCATTTGGGGGTGGGGGACCCCCCGGCGGTGCTCAGGGCTTACTCCAGGCTGTGCGCTCTGGAATCGGTCCCGGTGAGCGCGGGGTGCGAGACCTGAGCCCAGGTCGGGGGTGAGCAAGGCAAGCGCCCTGCCCGCGGCACCATCGCTCCGGCCTCCCACGGCCGTTCTTTGGTCAACGTGGCCAGGGGCGGCCGAGCTGGAGGGCGCCAGGGAGGGGGTCAGCGACCGGCCCCCAAGGGTCCCCCGGCTCGGCCCTTCCCCGCCTCACCTCCCTCCCGCGCCTCTGTCGCCCCCTGCAGGCTACGCCCCGCACTGCCTGCCCCCCAGCAGCTACGATGCGGCGGACCAGAAGCCCGGCCTGGAGCTGGCGCCCGCCGAGCCCACCTACCCGCCGGCGGCGCCCGAGGAGTACAGCGACCCCGAGAGCCCGCAGTCCAGCCTGTCGGCGCGCTACTTCCGCGGGGAGGCGGCCGTCACCGACAGCTACTCCATGGACGCCTTCTTCATCTCCGACGGGCGCTCGCGGCGGCGGCGGGGCGCGGGCGGCGGCGGGGACGCGGCGGGCGCGGGGGACCCCGCGAGCGGCGGGGGGACCCGCGCGGGGCGCACGGGGGCCCCGGCGGGCGGCGGGCACCGGCACGCGTGCGCCGAGTGCGGCAAGACGTACGCCACGTCGTCGAACCTGAGCCGCCACAAGCAGACGCACCGCAGCCTGGACAGCCAGCTGGCGCGCAAGTGCCCGACGTGCGGCAAGGCGTACGTGTCCATGCCCGCGCTGGCCATGCACGTGCTCACGCACAACCTGCGCCACAAGTGCGGCGTGTGCGGCAAGGCCTTCTCGCGGCCCTGGCTGCTGCAGGGCCACATGCGCTCGCACACGGGCGAGAAGCCCTTCGGCTGCGCGCACTGCGGCAAGGCCTTCGCCGACCGCTCCAACCTGCGCGCGCACATGCAGACGCACTCGGCCTTCAAGCACTACCGCTGTCGCCAGTGCGACAAGAGCTTCGCGCTCAAGTCCTACCTCCACAAGCACTGCGAGGCCGCCTGCGTCAAGGGCGCCGAGCCGCCCCCGCCGCCCCCCGCCGGCCCCGCCAGCTGAGCCTGCTGCCCCGCCCGCGTGCCCGCGCCCCGGGTCCCCACCCCCCACGCACACGCGGCGGCGCTCCCCGCCCCACGCCCCCGCGCGCCGTCTCCAGCTCTCCCCCCACCCAGCTCTGCGTCCCCCCTGCCCGCGTCCCTCGTGGGGGACCCTCCTCCGCTCCCCAGCCCGGCGCACCCTGATCCGCATCGTCCTTTCCGGCTCCCTCCCGAGACTGGCATCGCGACCACCCCCGGCCCCAGCCCACACCCTCAAGGCTCCCGAACTCGGGCGGCACCGGAGCTGGAATCTTCCATCCACAACCTGAGCCTCTGCCGCACACGCCAACGACCCCCCTACGCCCACCCCCCTCTGTCTTTCTCTCTCGGCTCTTCCCCTCGACAGGGTGCCGGATCTTTCTTATTGTCGCCCCCAATCTAGGGCCCAGCCGGACCCTTGGCGTTCGCGCCTGCCTTGGTTTCCCCAGGCTCGGCAAGATAGAGCCCCCCACCCCCACCCCCCAAGCCCGGACCTCCGCTCCACTGTATGCGTCTAGGGGTCCCCAGTCTACCCCAGTCCCCGCCACACCCCACCATACACCGCCCCCCACCCCGCCACAGATCCAGCCATTCCACCCCCACCGCCTGCGCTCTCCTTTGTCCACGGGGGCAAATTCCCAGTGCCCCTCACTGCTCCAGCAACCCCGTTCTCCGTGCTGCCCTGGCCTGGCCAGTCCAGAGCCCACTCCGCTCACTCGAACCCCTCTCCCACCCCAGGCCAGCCCTACCCTGGACATCCAGCGCCCCGCCCCCACCCCACGCCCTCTCTCCACGTTCTCTGAGCACTTTCCCCTACCCCCAGGACTACAGGTACCCCCCCACTTGGTTGGGGGAGGGAGGTCGGAGGCGCCTCGCACATGCCCTTCCCCCTGTCCGGCTGGACCTCTCCCGTTATTGGTGTATTTATTTATTTATCTATTTATTGTTCTAGTTAATCTCTTGGCCTCACCCAGGGAACTGTCTGGCTTCCCCAGCGGGACTGGGGAAGGTCAGGGAGCCAGGCGAGGGGAGGGGCAGCAAAGGCCTTGGAGGGCCGTCACCCCTCTCCCCTCGCCCCTCCGCCCTCCCTCGCGCACCCCACCCCTTCTCGGGAGGGAGGTGAGGGGCCAGGCCCGCCCTCCTCAGAGCTGAACTCCGGGAAGGAGGCTGGAGGAGGGCTGTGCGCGCAGGGGTGGGGGGTGGGGGTGCTATCCCGCTGACTCTCCCCGGGGGTCTGGCAGGGGCGCCAGGAGGGCGCTTCTTGGGGCAGGTCCCCGTCCTCCTGAGCCTTCTTGCAGTCTCACTCTGGTCCCCGGAGTGAGACGCTTCCTCTGTTTGTTCCCCCCACGTATTCCTCGTCTGAGGGACCCCAGGTACCAGGGACCGAATGAGCCCCGGGCCCCGCTGGGGCCCACGGCCTGCTCCGCCCCCCCGGGAGGCGTGCTCACTCCCGGCCACGTCTATGCAACTCTTCCGTGCAGAGGGGCTCCCGCGGGCCGGCCGACACTACCTCCCCCGCCGCTAGTGCATGCCCGGGCAGGACCGGGCACAGCCTCCGCGCCCGCGGGCCCGGCCCCTCTGCTTTAAGCACACGCCTCTGTGCCAGGCTCTCGACGCCCCGCTCCGGGGGACCCCCTCGAGACCTGGACCCTCCGCCCTCCCCCGCTCTGCGCGTACCCACAAAGCAGGGTGGAGCCCGACGGGCGCATCACAGCGCACCTCGGCTGGCCCCGGGCCCCCCAGGGGAGGGAGGCCCCGGGAGAGGGGGAGGGAGAGGGGCCGCAGAAGCAATTACGGAGGGTGTTGACCCTGTAGATAGGAACTTCCGACAGCAATAATTTTCCATGCATGCTACGCCTTTTGGCCATATTTTGTATGAGCGCTAGGCGCTCCCCCCTCTCCTCCCTCAATGCCCACCCCCCGACCCCCACCCTTTCCTCTCCTCCAGCAGTATTACTTGTAACGCAATTCAGGGATATTAAAGGGACTTTGGCCACTCTCTTGCGCCTCTAGACCTTGTGATGCAGGGGAGAGAGGAGGGGAGGGGAAGATGGGGGTGGGGTGTATGTGAGGGGCACTGGGAACTTGCCCCCTGTGTTTTCTACCTTGCGGTTTGACCACTCTACAGCTGCCCCCAGAGGTCACTCAGCTTCAGCTCCAGGGACCTCTTAACATCAAGTTTCCTTTGGATAAATCTCTCTCTCTCTCTCTCTCTCTCTCTCTCTCTCTCTCTCTCTCTCTCACACACACACACACACACACACACACACACACGTGCGCCTCATATTGGGGTCACAAAGTCAAGGGTTCAAGAGCCAGACTAATAATGTGAGTGGATGAAACTTTAAAGTATTTGGGAATGGGGGCAGAAGTGATGTTATTTGCCTTAGTGCAGCCAACCCGGGTTCAACCCCCAGCATCCCTTAGGCCCCACAAGCACCACCATAAGTGATTCCTGAGTGCAGAGCCAGGAGTAAGCCCTGAGCATCACCGGGTGTGCCTCCCTGCCCCCCTCCCCACCACCAAGATGACTCCTCCGGCAAGGTTGTCCCCAAGCAGCCTTACCCAAAATGATTGCAGGTTGGACCACCAACCCTTCCTCACTGCCATCTGCCTTCGTGACCTTTCAACATACAAATCTGTCCCTGCCTCACCAAAGGTTCACCGAGGTCGTGTAATTTACATCCACTTCCCATCTCAGATTCACCAGGAGGTGAGGCCCTAGCCTGCATATCCTCTAGGTTGGAGTGTGGGGTGCTATAGGCTGACACCCTATTTCCCTAGAGGTATCCCGCCCTCATTAGGAGCCTTACACGTTGGGATGGCCTTAACTAGTCTAAGAGTAATCCCAGTCCCTATGCATTGAGAAATATGGGCATGTCTAATTCAGAACAGTGAGATTTACGGAGAGGTTTGCTGAAAAGTGGTGAGAGTGGCTGGAGCAGGTAGGGCGTTTGCCTTGTACGCAGCCAACCCTGGTTCAATCCCCAGCATCCCATATGGTCCCCCGAGCACCGCCAGGAGTGATTCCTGAGTGCAGAGCCAGGAGTAACCCCTGAGCATCACCGGATGTGACCCAAAAAGAAAAAAAAAAGTGGTGAGAAACTTCACTTCTCCCACTCTCTCTTTTTTCTTTTTTTTCTTTGTTTTTCATTTTTGGTCACACCCAGCAAAGCTCTGGGGGGTTATTCCTGGCTCTGCACTCAGGGATCATCCTGGCAATGCTCGGGGGACCATATGGGATGCCAGGGATCAAACCCTGGTCAGCTGCATGCAAGGCAAATGCCCTCCTCACTCCAGCCCCAACTCCTCTCTCTCTTAGAGCAAGGAATCTTCATCTTGGTTACCCCTCCTCCCCCACCATGCCAACAAGGAAGCTTAGCATCTTAGCCAGCCCTACTTGACTGAGTCTCCACCCTGGGTGACAGAATGAAGAGATGGGAAAAGACCGTGACCCTGGTGACATCAGGGGGCCTCACACACCCACCCTGAAGGCCGCTGAGTGCGCTGAGTGCGTTGACTCCAAACCTGTGTGTGATGAGTGCTTTTGTTGTCAAAGTCTATTGGAAACAAGCCTCTGTTACCTGCTTCGACCGCAGCTTTTCACCCTTCTCTCAAGGAATAAAAGCACGACCCAGTTTTCTGCTCTTTCTCTTTCCCATCTGGCTACTCCACCTAGCATGTCTCAACCTTCCTAGACCCCAGAAGGAACAGGATCTACCAGTCTCCGCTGACTCCAGTTCCCACCCACACGCAGATGACTCACAGGCAGACTAGCAGACAATTCCAACCTTGCCTCTCAGCAGCAATCCCATTATCTGCCTCAGGCCCCCTCCCCTTGGCCTGCCCAAAGCACCAAGGACCAGCCCCCAGGCGGAAGTCAGAATTTAGTTCTCCTCTGGGGTTTCCACCTCCCTGAATGGCTCAAGCCCCAACCCAGTCTCACAGCCACGAAATCCAGACGCCAGCTCTCACGTCTCCTCTCTCCCATCCTCGTGTCCGGTCTGCCAGCCACTTTGCTTGATTTTCCTTCTCCTCCTTAGTCTCCATCCGAGTCCACAGTGCCTATTAGCTGTTACCTGGGCAACTGGGCCAGTGTTCTCTGCATCCTTTCGGCCTCCTTCCCCTCCTCCCAGCATGGCAGCCCCAGAAAGGCAGATCTGATCTAGTCACTCCCGTTTCCCCGTCCCTGCAGGAAGCACTTCCCGTTCTGCGACTGGGAAAAAGTGGAAACTACCTGGGGGTGATTCATTTATTTATGTTTTTCCACATCCAGCTGTGCTGAGGGCTTACTCCTGGATCAGTGCTCAGGGTTTACTCCTTTCCCTGTGCTCAGGGCTTCCTCCTTGCTCTGTGCTCAGGGATCACTCTTACTCTTGGCAAGGCTCCAGTGGGTGTTGAGTCCCATGAATTGGCAGGCATTGAACCCTGGGCCGGCCACGTGCAAGGCAAGCCACCTTACCCACAGAACTCTCACTCTCTCTCCAGTCCCTGGGGTGATTTTGAAGCCCTTCCTGGTCTGGATTTTTCCATCACTCCGGCCATGTGACCCTTTTCTCTTGGAGCTCCAGCTGCTTCTTCCAGCCCTGTTTCTGCCTCCTGCCACAGGGCCTTTGGCCATGCTGCTCTCTTCACCTGCACCACCGTCACCACTACCCTTTGCTAGTCCCTGCCTTTTGATCCTTCATCTCCTGGTGGGTGGTCCCTTCCTCAGAGGCCACATGCTGTCACTTGCTGGGACTGAACACTATACCATTCATTCGTGTGAATGCTCATTCTCAATCTCCCCCCCACTAGATTATACGTAACCTGAGCTATTGACCAAAGTGTCTTTTTACTCGTCATTAAGTCCCCTGGTCTAGCACAGCGCCCGGCTGATGGCAGATGACCAGTAATTATTTTTTAATGAGTCACACACCTTTAAGTCATAATCAATAATGATGACATATGCTTTTTAGAAAGACTGTCCGTCGGGGCCGAGTCGATTGGTTCAGATGTGGGCATCTGACTAGAACTTGGAAAT